TTTAGTCTTTTTACGTATATCACAGCATTACATACATGAATGAACATACTGTGGTGTGTGGAGTGAACCAGCACCCTCTGGTTCCAAGCCAAGTCCCTCACACTGAGCTACTGCTGCCCTTTATTTCATGACCACCCTGCCAGTTCTTTTATTTATTTTTTGCACCAATGAGCAGCCACCCACTGGCCGATAGAACAGAGCCCCGGTTTCTGCCATTGGCCTTCACTTCACGCACCTGGTGGCTCTGTCCACTAATGAGATACTGTCAATGATTGTATCACCAACAAAAGGTTGTTTGAACAGAAATGACTCCCCACAAACTGAACGTGTGCTGTGTGTGCAGACTGCTAGAGTTCCAGTCCTCCCAGTGTTAGACATCGATCTGGGTTTCAACAAACTGACCTGCTGTTCCCTAGATCTGCACTTACGTCAGTTAAACACATCGATCTCAGGTCCACACACACACACACACACACACCACACACACCACACACACACCACACAGTCCAAACCCAAAGATATGTGATTACGTTGAATCACAATGGAGAAAAGCTGCAATATTCACATTGGAGAAGCTGACACCACCTAAGCAGTAGGGTGTCACGATTCTCCAACCTCGATTCGATTTAATTTTCGATTTAAGTCACGTTCATTCGATTCGATCTTTTTTTAATATTACTATCTAATCCATTTCTTTATGTTTTATTTTTTTGGGCCCTTTCCTTTCTGTTTCGGGGGGCCTTTTATTTTAAACCGCTTTTATTTTGACCCGTTCCCAACCGCGAGGTGTAAACAGAACAAACATCTAAACAGAGACGTGAACTAGTGAAACACAGAATGACGATTGATTGTTTCCACCAATCCCCAAGAGACCCAAGGTTAGTGTTCATGGAATATGTACTTATCAATGTGCATTTTAGCCTTAAAGTCATTTTGGACTGTAACTAGATCATCTTTTCACTTGCTCAGTTGAGTAGGCTAAGTTTAGTGTTAATTGACGTGAATAAACGACAAATACTTCCACACTGGTGATTTCAGAGTAGCAAGAGGGGGCTTCGATTTCGGGCGGTTGATGTGTATTTTTAACTGGCTGTAGCCTAAATTAGTGGAGTGTTGACGCCGCAGTTCAGCACGTGTGTGTGTTTTTGCGTCTTGGCATACATCGCTTGGACGTGACATTGGGGGTGTGGGCTGCATCGTCGATTCTACCTTTGAGATTTTAAATCGAAATCGTGACACCCCTACTAAGCAGCAGTCACCTGAAATGTTCACCTTTTATTCCTGTCTTGCAGTTTGAATATCCACAAACTTCACTTCAGCTTCAGCACTTCAACTTCACATACAGCATATAGACAAATTAAATCCAGCCTAATGTTAGTCATTTTCTGGGTGCTGTCACATTGTATAAAACATGCAGTAGAATTCTAAATTGTGTCTAATAAATGGATTACATGGATTTAATGGGTTTAAATTGTTGATTAGATGAGTGGGACTCCTGCAGCACTCATGATGATCATTATTAAACCCATTGAGTTAAACTTTCCACTATACAATACGTTGTAAAATCAGTCACTTGATATGATTCTTTCTCCCCAAATATCTGAGCCAAATATCATCCAAGCATTGCAGCTCAATCTGTAGTGGTGTTTAAACAGAGCCATTCATTTAATGGAATGATTAATACAGCAATGTTACAGATTCCATGAAAAGGCCTTAGGAACAGGTTAGGGGTGGGATTTTGATAAACCTCCATACCTATACCTATTTAGTACAAGTGTTAATGTTGTATTTATGTATTCCTGCCTTTTTTTCTTTCAGGAACAACCAGCTGAGCAATTTACCACCTGAAATGAAGAGCTTAAATAAACTGTGCTCCATTATCCTCAATTACAACAGGTAACTCACTGTTTCAGGACCAGTTAAACTCCAGATTAAATCCTAACGGTAATTGTAATGAATATGAAACCCCTGATGTCATGTTGTCTATGTTAGGAGCTCCGGTGTGACCTGTGCCAACATGGCTCCTCACTCACATTTCTTTCCCTCATCTTAGCTCCTCCCTAGGAGAATTTTAGAGATATGGAGGAAGATATTATTGAGCCCCTGGGGTCAACTGAGGGGGGAAAAAAAGCTATGTGTAAATTTGTACTCCGTGTGATCACAGATTTATACACCGTGCACACTGGGCTGGTAGCCAGCAGCAGTAGGCCGGCTTTGGGCCAGAACACGTCACTACACAATAAGAAATTTATATCTATATTTGACATTGTGATAATTCTTTATTTGATACTAACTGCTGACAGTTGAAAATTAATGTTTATTTTGTATATTCACATTGGCAAACAAGTTAATGCGGGTACTGTATGAGATGTGCTGTGTATATATACACTATATGGACAAAAGTATTTGGCCACACATGTTATTTATTGAAGTCAAGTGTTTCAATCAGACCCCTTGCCACAGGTGTATAAAGTTCAAGCACCTAACCATGCCCAGTCTCCATTTTTGCAAACATTTGTAATGCAAAAGGGGCGTTTCTGAAGAGCTCAGTGACTTCAGGTGCGGTAGTGTGATAGGATGCCACCTTTGCAATAAGACTTTGTGAAATTTCATCCCTGCTGGATATTCCACGGTCAACTGTAAGTGATATTATTAGAAAGTGGAAGCGTTTAGGACCAACAGCAACTCAGCCACCATGCGGAAGACAACGTAAAATCACAGAGTGGGGTCAAAGACTGCTAAGGTGCATGGTGCGTAAAAGACGCCAACGCTCTGCTGATTAGCTGAAGAGTTCAGAACTTCCACTGGCATTAATGTATGCACAAACACTGTGCGGCGGGAGCTTCATAGAATGAGTTTCCATGGCTGAGCAGCTACATGCAAGCCGTACATCATAAAGTCCAATGCCAAGTGTCGAATGGAGTGGTGTAAAGCGCATCGTGACTGGACTGTGGAGCAGTGGAAACGTGTTCTGTGGAGTGACGAATCACGCTTCTCTGTTTGGCAGTCAGATGGTCGAGTCTGGGTTTGGCGGATGCCGGGAGAACGTTACCTGCCTGACTGCATTGTGCCAACTGTGAAGTTTGGTGGAGGAGGGATAATGGTATGGGGCTGTTTTTCAGGGTTTGGGCTAGGCCCCTTATCATCCAGTGAAGGGCTATGTTAATGCTTCAGCATACCGAGACATTTTGGACAATGCTATGCTTCAAACTTGTTGGCAACAGTTTGGGGAAGGCCCTTTTCTGTTCCAACATGACATGAACTTGACTGGCCCGCACAGAGCCCTGACCTCCACCCCATTGAGCACCTTTGGGATGAACTGGAACAGAGATTGCGAGCCAGGCCTTCTCGTTTAACATCAGTGCCTGACCTCATAAATGCTCTACAGAATGAATGGGCACAAATTTTCACATAAACACTCCAAAATCTTGTGGAAAGCCTTCCAATAAGAGTGGAAGCTGTTATAGCTGCAAAAGGGCAGCCAACTCCATATTTAAGTATATGTTATTGAATACAATGTCATTATAGTCCCTGTTGGTATAATGTCAGACGGCCGAATACTTTTGTCCATATAGTGTATGTCATTGGACATGGGTCAATAAAGTTCTAATCCTGAGTGAGTTCCAGTCAAAGCAGAATTGATGCCATATTCCTCTCCAGTTATTTCCAGTCCAACATTTCAACAGTTCACCTCTGCCGACACTTACTGTGCCACTTCTGAGACACAAATGTCTTGTTGTTAATAAATACATCCACAGCAATGAAAATTGTATGCGCAACAAATACTTTCTACTTCTTCTTTTAATAGGCTGTGAAAAATGAAATTTTTTTCTGTAAAATATAATACACTCTACCTAATTTGAAATGTTACTTATGGGCTGTGGCCAAATTAATGTTACTGTTAGAGGAAAACTGTAGTTAAATGTAGTCAATTCACTGGAGAGTACTCAAATCAGCAATTATCAATCAGAATCACAGTCAGAAATACTTTATCGATCCCTGGGGGGAAATTTGTTTGTTACAGTTGTTCTACTCACACAACCTTGAAGAATAATATCTAACATAAAGAATAGAAATGTATGTATAGGTATATACATATAAGTAAAATGTAAAAATAGAAATAGAAATAGAAATATAATATGAAATGACAATACCAGTAGTGGCCCCAAAACAATTTGAGTTTGAGACCTCTGATTTAGGGGTACAAGTATTTTAAATGACTCATTAGGATGTCTAATACAGATATAAAATGTATGTAAATGTTCTAGATGACTGCAGCTTTTTTTTTTTATTGTATAGTGACATATCCTGGCTAAAAGTCATAGGCCTCCTGTTGCTAGCTACCAGCCCTGGGCGCCCTTGAGTATGTTTTACAGATCTAGGAACAGACGGCAAATCTGTGCCCGTGGTTTGCAAAGAATCTGAGAGTTCAGATTATATAACGAATTTGTACACTGAAAGTACTTATTAACACACGGCTCTTTTTTTTTCTTTCTTTTTTTTGTCTCTCAGCTGACCCCAGGGGAGCTCTGTAAGATACTGATTGAGGAGGATCATTTTTATGCAGACAGCAATAACTCATGACACGCAGCATGTCAGCTGCCCCAAAATGTGTGGAAGGAATTCCATTTTAAAGAAAAACACCTGATGACTGCTGCTCCAATAATATATAGATTTAGGTGTGAATATGACTAATAGAAATCATAGTAGTAGATAAAATAATTGGTTTTATTATTGAGGAAAAAAACATGACACATTTTTTGGAGAAGCTTATTTTTCTGTGAATGAGCCAACCAATATTAACATGGAACAGCAAAGAAGACGAATAGAAAAGTGTTTTATGATTCATTAACAGTTATTCTTGAGAACTTCTCAGAAGGACACACAAGTGGTCCCTCGCTCTGAACTCAGGTACCCCCCCTAGGGGTTGGAACATCCTCAGTGACGGCAGGAGGAGTGAGGATGGAAAGCACCTACAGTGGCTCAGTCAGCTGGACAGTCTCACACAGTTTATCAACTCAAGAGTCCTTGTGCTGATTACAGGTTCAAGTCTTTCCCTGAAGTCCTCTATCAGATGGTTTCCTTGGAGACGGTTTTGCTCGGTAACAACCAGGTGGGTGTGGTGGACCCCTGTCATCTCATGAGGTTGACTCATCTGTCAACGCTGGATCTGTCAAACAATGACCTCCTGAACATCCCCCCTGAACTGGGCCTGTGTACCAGCCTCAGGTATGGGTTCCACTATCTTCCTTTACCTTCTCCTAGCATATGTTTGTGTTTGAACCCCCTCACTGCAGTACACCACCAGCTGCTGTCCCCCACTGTTTATGTGATAGAGGTCCACTGCATTCCAGGAATCATTCTCATCATGAGATGTAACTGACCCCAGTGTTTATCCAATTTTCCTCAAATAAGGTAGAGTGAAGGCACTGCTCTGACCACAAGCTGTCTTTTTAATAATGTTTAGGGAAGGATAATTCAAAAACCTAGGAATTTATTTGTGTTTTGTATTGTGTTTTGTGTAAAAAGGTGAAAATTGGATTAAAAAAATAAATAATACAGAAATCCCACATACTGAGTAAAGCAAAGCCTGTGTTGACCCTTAGGTGTCTCAGTCTGGAGGGAAATCCTTTCCGCACACCCAGAGCAGCCATCGTGGCCAAAGGAACAGATGCAGTGTTGGAGTACCTCCGCAGCCGCATTCCTACATGACCCCTGACAGCTCCGCCACCATGATCAACAAAGATCTTATTTGGGTTTGAAATTCTTTCAATTTAAAGTCCACAGTCGGGATGTCATTAGACAGTCTTCTGCCTTTTGAAGTTGTTAAAACAAACAATCAAAATCAATGTAGCTACAGTGATCTGGTTTGTTTTAGATGTTGAATGTCTGAACGTGATGAATATTTTTGGACAAACTGATTCAGACTGATGCCTGTGTGACTGAAAATAACCAATGACAAGACACTTTGGTTGAGAATTAGAGGAGTTAAATTTTATAATTGTGTAGTATATGGCCCAGTCCAAGCTCAGTAAGAAGTACCTTTTAGAACCTTAGTCACAAAGTGCTTGTTAAAACAACACGACTGCTATAAAACTCTAATGTGTTTTGACAGCTGATTAACAGTCAGCCAACTGCAAACTGTGTGTTTGGTGTTCACTCTTAAAATAAGAACAGTTTCTGTATACAATAAAACATTCAATTCATAATTAGTAGTCTGTCTCCTGTTTGATGAAGTGACTTTCCATTTATCATTGTGCCAACAGCTCCTCCTTCTTCTTGTCTATATTTATTGATCTATATACACCGATCAGCCATAACATTATGACCACCTGGACACCCTGGTGGTATAGTGTTACGCAGCCCCATACAAAAACAAACTGTGCACTGTGTGTTCTGACACCTTTCTATCAGAACCAGCATTAACTTTTTCAGCAGTTTGAGCT